CCTCCCTTCGCTCTGCTTCCTGACCACCATCATGTGAGCAGCCTTCCTTCATGCCAGGCACTCCCGCTATGCTTGGGGTCTCTCAACCATGGACTGAAACCTCTGAAAACCATGAGCCTAAATAACCCTCTCTTCCTTTAAGCTGTGGGTGTTGTGGCTCAGCAATAAAGCAACTAATGAAGACAGGGAAAAAGGAGGCATTGGTAAGAACAGCGAAATGCTGGTAGCTATGGAAGGCAGATAGTGGCATGCAGGGCTCGTGCTGTTACTATTTATTTTATCTTTCTAAGATTTTTGTAATAAAAAATGTTTTCAAAATTATTGTGATTTAGGTATTTCTGTGCAGGCTACTTTTATTCATGGCAACAGCTATCATAGGAAATATAAATGGCATTCAACAGCCTCATCATCTTTAACAAAGCCATGTCTGAGACACTCGGTATAAATGATGTTTTATTTGTAAGAACCTAGGTATTTCTGGATTCCAAGCTGCATACATTCTATGTCTACAGATGAAGACAAGTCCATTATTTGGGTTCAACTCATTTCACCTTTCCCATAACTCACAATAATTATTCTCCTGAACCTCATGATCCACAGTCAGTCAACTAAGATTTTAAAAAATAAACCTTTAAACCTTGATACGTATCATCAATATAGGAACCAGCCTGATCAAGGGACTGGTTCTGTCCTTAGGTTCCTTAAATTAGGTGGCAGCAATGCAGACCCAATGCCTCCCGAGAACAGATAAGCCTGCTCTGCTCCTTGCCACTTACCACACAATATAATGGGTGGAAGAGACAGTGCTTAGACAGACTTCTAAGCATTTTTCTCTCACTGAAAAATCCAGCCAGCATATGTCCTGCCAGACTCTCAGGGAAAAACATCCTGAGGTCAGCTACTTTCCTGGCCTTGGCAATTTAATGTTTTAGGGGAGGAAAAGAACTCATCCACTTATGAAAATAGTTTAAAATAACAAGGAAATTGATTTCCTTTCTTGGAAAGAAGCCTACAATCTGGCTGAGGACCACTTACAAGAACCCACCATTTTTTCAGTGTTAACAGTGCTCCAGAAAAATCATGGTGTTCCACAGCATCTACACTTTCCCACACGCAGGACCACCTTTTCTCCATATCCTGACCATAGTCTTTTTGTTGGCAGGGTCCTCTGAGATTCACCTTTTGGGTGCCTTCCAACCTAGGGTCCCATGAAAAGTTTTCGGCTGACACAGTGACACATGCCTCTAATCCCAGCGCTGCGGGGGCTGAGGCAAGAGGATCACAAGTTTGAGGCCAGCCAGGGCAACTTCCTGAGATCCTGTCTCATAATGCAAAGTTGTGGGGAGCTCTGGCTTGAACACCAGCACAATTTTTTTAAAGAAATTTCCTCTGTAATGAATACACCTTTCCTTTTAAGCAGCTCCTCCCTGGGGCTTGGATGCAGAGGGCCTGCGCTTTCCTAACGGTCCTGATGCTGCTGACCTTCTTGCTCCATAGCTGTCCCTCCTATTATCATAGAGCTCACTTTTAAAAGAAACAGGTGAGGCTGATTTTGTCAGTAAGTCTGTCTTAACATATTCATTGGTTCCCTATCTTTAAATGCCAGGGTCAAATGTGCACTACTTTCTATCCAAGAAAAGTTCCTTTAGATCAGTAAAGGAACTTACAGATGCCTGCTGTGATACAGAAAAGCCCCCCTCCGTAAGTCAGTTTCTCTTGCCACACTGCATTTTCCAGAGATCTCTTGAGTGGCGTGGACATTCTTATCAGATTTCAAGCTGGCAAGGGGCTTGTCCTTGTCAGGCAGTCTTGCTTCTTCTCCCAAATGGTACAAATCAACACAGGCTACTTCACTGGAACCCTTTGCCACTGACTTAGATCGAAAACTGGATCCTTTCCTGGGTATTGCCTGGTCCACGATGACTGATTTTGACTGGAAAGGTCTTGCCAGCCATTCATTCAATAACAGTGAATGCCCACTGAGTAAATGAAGAGGACATGAAAATCCACACGAGCCCGGGTGGTGGCTCATGCCCGTAATCCCAGCACTTGGGAGGCTGACACCAGAAGGTCACCACGAGCTGGAGGCCAGCCTGAGCTACACAGCTCGACCCTGTCTCAAAAAACAAAAACAACAACCACAAAAGCCAAAAAAACCAATAGGATTGAGAAAAAGCAAAGACACAAATTACTCCCACCACTACAGATCCCATACACATTAAAAGTATCATAAAGGACTATCATGAACAGCTTATGCCTCGATGAAATGAACCAATTCCTTGAAAGATACAATCTGCCAAACTCACAGAAGTAGAAACAAACTGAATAGGTTTATATCTATTAAAGAGACTGAATCAGTAATTAATAAACTTCCAAAACAGAAAGCACCAGATGGGTTCACAGATGAATTCTATCAAACATAGGAAGTAATTATACCGGATAAGAGCAGAGGGACTAGTTCATAACTTCTTATGTGAGCCCAGCATTATCTAACACCAAAACCAAAGAAAGACACCATAAGAAAAGATCCATAGCTCTTAGGAACATAGCCAATCGAATTCAACAATATACATGTCTTGGTTACTTTTCTCTAATTGCTGAGACAAAACACATGATACCCAAAATTATGGAAGGAAAGGTTTATTTAGCTCACAGTCTGTGGAGGTTTCAGTCCATACTCAGCTGGCTCCAAGGCAGGGTGGCACAGGGCAGAGGGCAAAAGTTCATGCTGGCAGAAGATAGCAAAGCAACAAGAGCAAAAGGGAGGAAAAGGAGCAGCAGCTGGAAGAGCAAGCCTCTTTCCCTCCCTTGCACTGTATGCAAACTACCCGCCCCAGGGCAAGTGTAGCGCTCACATCCGTAATTCCAACACTGGACCATGAATCAATCATAAATCTAGAAGTCCGCCCCATGACTGCATGAGGCTTTAGGGGACATTGAAACACAAACCATAATAATACGTAAGTGTTAGCCAATATATAAATTACACACATACATATATACACATATATGTATGACAGCCAAATCCAACTATATATACGAATGATTATGTACTATGATCAAGTAGGTTTCAGTGTAGGTATGCAGGGCAGTGAAACAGAATGGGAGACTAGAAGGAGACCAACATAAACACAGCCAGCTGATTTTAACAAAGAAGCGAACTGGCCGTCCACGCGCCAGAGACAAAACAAACCTAGACACGGACCTTATACACTTCACAAAGATTAACTCAAAACGGACCACAGACATGAACCCAGAACTATAAAACTCCCAGAAGATAACCTAGAAGATAAAAAGAAGACAGATCACAAATCAGCATTAAAAAGGTATGTGACATATGCTATCAGGGACACACCAAGTAAGATGACCTGTCACTCAACACTTACTAGAATGGCCAAAATCCAGAGCACTGACACCACCAAATGCTGGCGAGGACACAAAACAACTCTCACTCAAGTTTGCAGTGGAGGGAATGCGAAATGGTACAGTCCCTGCGGAGGGAGTTTGGCAACATCTCACCAAACTAAACATACGCGTACCTCACCATCCAGCACTCATGCACCTTAGCATTTCCCCTGGAAGTTGGCACGTCCACATAGAAACCTACACACTAACTTTTATAGCCGCTTTACTAAAACTGCCAAAATCGGAACCAAAAATGTTCCTCCTAGATGAACAGATAAAATGGTTGTGATGTACCCAGACAGTGGAATTTTCAGTATTAGAAAGAAATAAACTGTCAAGCCATGAAAAAACATGAAGGAACCTCAATGCATACTAGCAAGTGAAAGACAATCTGAAAAGGCTGCATTCTGTATAATCCCAACTATACGCTATGTGGAAAAGCAAAACGATGGAAATAGTAAAAAAATCAGTGGTGGAGGAGATTCATAAACAGAGCACGCAGGGCTTTTAAGGCAGTGAAACACTGCACAACAGCACAGGGAAGGATGGACATCCCTGTACACTCGTCCAGACTCAGAGTGGACATCAAGAGTAAACCCTCGCGTGAGCTAGCCACCCTGGGTAATGAACGTCCACAAAGCAACTGGCAGTGCAGGGTCGTTCCCTGGAACAGCTGGCGTCAGATGCTGACAATGGAGGGGAGGCAGACAGTAACGGGAAATCTCTAAGCCTTCCTAACAATTTTTTTAAAAGTTCTCTTTTTAGAAGTCTTGAAGTCCTTTAAAAGAAAAACTCTGCCCACAGTCTCACAGGTCTCACACATGGTTCCTAACCACTAGAAAGCTCTCAGTCTCTCCTTACGGAGACACACTGAGGAAGGACTATGGGACAATTATTAACGCAGGCCCGAGGCTGTGGCTACCCCACCCTCCTCCAGCCCCTTTCTTTCCATTTACTGTGGTGGGTGTGATGAGCTAAACCTTTTTCCGTGCATCGAAGTCTCAGAACTGTTTTCCTGCTGTAAACTGCAGCCAGTGAGAGGCATAAATCCGTGGTATTTAAACCGCTTCTGACCTAGCTTTGTGTGGTAAGAGGCACGATGAAGAGATGGCCAGGACACCAGCATTCCTCGGTCACTCGATTTTATCTGACTGACTGGGGTTCTTGCGTCGCAAGGTACGCACCGAGAGGCGTTACGGGAACACAACCCTTCCTTCACTGCTCTGGTCACTAATCTTCAGACACTAATCTGTCTGAAGACCACAAAGTTCTTTCTATCACAGGGAATTAGTGACCTAGCTGGGCATGGCAGCGCATGCCTGTAATCTCAGTGACTTCGGATGCTGAGGCAGGAGGATGGAGAGTTTAAGGTTATACAGCAAGACCCTATCCCCCCCAAAAAAAAAACGTGACCCCAGCAATAGCAATACCTTTACTTTTAACCAATTGGGTCCGGATCTTTGGTGCTACTATGAATAAATGATTCTTCTCATCCCGTTCTAATTGTTTCTGCTTTTTAGCTAATGCTTACCAAATTACTGATTGGTAATTATTCAGCTATTTAAATAATAAAGAACATATCAACCAGAGAAAAGTACAGGTCACTGTATTTATTCTATGTTTAACTGCACATATTCAAATTACAGAGTTCAACTTCGCAGTAAGGTAATGAATGCCGGTTAAAGGGTCACTCGGTTGCATTTGTTCCTAACATTTTAACACAGCGCAACAGCCTAAGACACGGGTGTGAGTTCAGTGCACTTTCTGCAGCTCACAATCTCAGGACAAACACGTTTGTCCATAAAACAGACAAGTACATCAACATCTGAAAAATACTGACATGAAATAAAAATAAAAGAAAAATAAAAGTAAACACTGCACTTTTACCACAACCGTTGCGGCAGCCGACAGCATCACGCTGTGAAAGGCACTCCCTGGCATCTCAGGCGGCTCTCCCAGGCAGCCTCCCCACCGCCCCAGGGACCGCTCTGGTGGGGCCTGGGCACCGCTCCGCCTGCCCCTAAGGCTCTCCTGTGGTCTGTATTCCTCCACGGCTCCACGCTCTGCAAAGAGCCCGGCACAAAACTCGCCCGGCTAAGCATCCCTTGCACCACGGCAGCGCAGCACTGATGCTAGGGACCGCCTTCCCTGCCCGTGACAGAGGAGAGTGGACGGTGAGTCTGTCTGCAGACCTCGGCCTCCCCCAGGACCACACCCCCCTCGACGCAGACAGGCCGACGACGCCTGCTAGAACTTAAAAGTGATGTGGGCAGACCACGGACTGACCGAGAGTCCTTCAGCACCTATTCTCTAGTACCTGTTTTTAAAATCATAAAAACATAAAAACTGTAAGTACTGCACTGGACATTTCAACAGGAACTCTGTACCCGACTTGTGATTAGTGGGTCCAGAGAGAACAGAAGTTGAGCCACGTTCTCTGTGGCCAACCTAAAACTGTGCTCCTAGCCCCAAACCTGGCACCGGTGCACAGCTCCCGCCACTGGACAGCGCTGCACACCGGGCACGTCTCATTACAGCTGCTGCTACCACTCACAAGCGTGCCCTGTGGCCCCCCGGAGAGCGGCCCTGGGCTGCGTGCATCTGACCCCGCCTCGGAGCAAAGGCAGGGCAGCACCGGGCACTGTCCGCGCCACAGCCTGCTCGGCTGTCCTCTCCGCTGCCAGAGGATTGGCAGGGTCGGGCGAGGCATGGGGACGCTGGACAGGCGGGCGTGGAGGAGGTGGAGAAGCCGGTTGTGCATGGCCAGCAACCCCCAGCGTCAGTAGAATCGTTCACTGCCACCACGGGGACTCAGCCTGGGCCCGACCTTCTGGACAAATCACAAGCAGATCCAGCCACCCGTCACTTTTCCAGCAAGGTTTCACTGCATGTTTTTAGGAGTAAAATTAACAAAATGTTACACTTCTAAAATAACTTAAAAATTAATCCAAAAAACAAGGCTTTTACTTGTGCTCTGAACAACTGACCACCCTGGGGCCCCACGGGTCTGTACCAGGCAGGAGTGGGGCGGGATCTAGAAGAGGAACACCACCCGGCGAGAAGCGGCACTGACCCACCAGCGCTGAGCACAATGACTTCCCACGGGGTTACCTCAACTGTCTCCATGGTGACGCCAGAAAAAAATCACATGAGGACTACTTTCTGCAGCACCATAAGGTTTTATAAAATACTGCTTTAGTTAAGGTAAATGTCCAGATTTGGTCCATCACTCAGATTAGACATCACCTCTTCGTTTACTGACGATGATTCTGACAGTGGCCACGCAGACACAGCGACAGCATGAGCACGGCACGTGTTACTGCAGAACCTGCACGGTGCACTTAGCTGGTCGTGGCTTCAGCTGGATCCACGGGATGACAGCAGATCCGAAGACCAGAGAAGATAATCTGAACATTTATACGCTAGTAACAAATTTTAATGTGCCAAACAACCTACGTGGTAACTGGCTAAGATACTAGTCACATCGAAAGGCCTTTTGTATCTGTTTGCTTTCTCATGGGGTCTGCTTCTATATAGAAACATGCTGCAAGTGCTCCAGTTTTAAGTAAGAATATAGTGATTCAGTTTAAGTTTTAAAATGGCAAACAGGTAAATTTCATAGCCAAATTACCTGGAATTATGTATAATAAATTGTCTACAGTAAAAAACATTATCACAGACTGAATCTCTCCCCAGTACCCAGCATGCTTGTGGATGTCCCACAACTGCTAAAGTGTGCTATGCCAACTTAGGTCAACAGTCATCCAAGCAAAACATAACTAAAAGGACTGATTTACCTACCAAAACACACTGCGTTCTGAAGCCAAGTCATAGTTAGCTTTGGGATTATCAACTTCATGTCTCCATTCCATTAATACAGAGAACTGAATCTTGTCTTTATTACAAATTAGCTAGTACTAAAGTAAACTTGCTATAAAATTATAACAAAATAGATATTTTCATTACCTCTATACTAAAGTACTCCTATGTAAGTACCACTATACTTTATGCTAATATAAATCATTAGCATTTTATAATATTTAGCTTAGGTCACTATCCTGGACCCAAACATACTGTACAATCCTGAGTGAAAGTGTAGGGGTAAACTTCCTTGGGGATCGTTCTTGACCAACAGTCGAAAAGAAAACACATAAATCACAATTTGTAACATTCCCCTCTGCATGATAAGTACCATGAGTTCTTTAACTTTGGTAAATAAGTTTATGTGTGTAAACCATTAATCTTGACACAGTCCGGCAGGCTCTGCTAGGATCCCTCTATCGCCTTTTGACACTGATACGATAAACAGTCCGGAAGAGCGGGGCAGGAAGACCTGAACCACAGCGCTAATCCGTCAGCGTGGACACGGCAATGCAGTAGGCTGGGGGTGGACGGGAGCAGCCGACAGGCCAACAGCCCTTCATTGCCTGTAGGAAAATAAACATGAAAACTTGAATACAGAAGGACTTCAACAGGCATCTCTCCAAGAAGATACACAAAGGGCCAATAAGCACATGGACAGCTATTCAACCTCACTATCACCAGAGAAACGCAAATCAAACCTACAGTGACCTGTACTTCACACCCATAGTAAGGCTGTTCCCCAAAAAGCTGATGAAGATGTGGAGAAACTGGAACTCCTGCATATTGCTCATGGCAATGTAAAATGCAGTTGCTATGAAAATATGGTGATTTCTCAAAAAATTAAATAGGGAATTAACACATTATCCAACAAGTCCAACTGGGTAAACAACAAAAGAACTGAAAGCAGGATGTAAATGGATACGTCATGTCCACGTTCACAGCAGCATTATTCACCGGAGCCAAAAAGTAGAAAAAACCCAGTGTCCATGACACATGAATGGATGGTCAGAAGGTGGTCATTCATAGGGTGGCACATTCAGACTGCAGAAGAAAACTCTGACACATACTGCAATACAGACAGCCCTGAAGACATTGTGCTAAGTGAAATTAGCCCGACAGGAAAGGACAAATACCGTGTGAGTCCACTGGTGTAAGGCACCTAGTGACATCGAGACCAAAAGCAGAATGGTGGCTGCGAGGGAAGGAGGAAGGGGAAGTGGGGAGCTTGCTTGTAACAGGTAAAGAGTCGGGGAGATGGGAAGTTATGGCGGTGATGGCAGCACCACGTGAAGTACTTAGTGCCACTGCATTTAAAAGTAGTTCCAATGACATATTCCACGTCACAGGTAGTCAACTTGAAAAGTACTTAATTTGGTCTGAGAAGCACTCATCTGAGCCATTCCTCACGGGCAGCTGCACTCTAAGGGACGCGCAAGGCCTGATCTGCATTCTGACAGGGAGGAAGCACCCAGGGTGAAGCGCCAGGACACAGGGTGCTTCTGCAGAGTGCTACCAACCTCGGACGTCAACCACATGAAGCCTCACTTTCTCTTGCAGCGTTTTGAGGGCAGAAGGCAGAGCAGCTTGAGGTTCTGACATTTTTATATTCTGCTTCACATCATTCGCAAAGGATAACCACAGTTTACCAAAGTCTTCAGTTGAGATCTTTAATGGCCTGAAAATAATTTTTAAAATTAGACTTACATCCATAAGCATGAAGTAATTCTAAACAAATGGATCTCTAATGACTTGTGGAAATAAAATATAATTGCTATAAATATGGACACCACAAAGCTTATCACCTTTAACCAACTATGATTAGAATACTGCCATAATCTAACCTGATGAAAAATACTGAAAGCAGGAGCTATTATTAAAGTGCTATGACTTCTCAGTAATCACTGGGCTCTCTCTTTCTGAGTGTTAGTCATTCCAGTAAGACTTTACCAAGTAGTTTCATGAGTCATTCAAATGTAACACAGAACTTTTCTTTCATGCATTCTTTGGATTTGGGGACACTGACATTTTCTCTCCAAGTCATGTAAAAGAGTATGAATACAAAGACCTAGCACCTTAAATAAATTATACAGAGAAAATTTTTAACAAATATAGTGTTTTAAAAATAGTTATGGGACTAAAGATCAAATAGTTAACACCAGATATCTCTGGGGGTGGAATTATAGGGAACTTGATATTGTACTTACATTTTTCTATAGCATTTGAATTTTTATAATAACTACACACTGATTTCATAATCAAAAAAAATATTTTTAAAGATACACAGGATTTTGTTATTATGCACGAAACAACTGTTTTGTGTTACATATAATGTTTTCCTCAGGTAACTTTTTTAAGCTTAGATTAACAGAGGGCAATAGGCATAAATACTGTTGACAACTTGACAGACATGTTTTTACTAAAAGACTTTAGACTGGGTAAAAATTATAGGAGTGTAACACAAGTAGTGGTCCTAGTTAAAAAGACTACAAGTATTCAAGGGTGATGAGACGACTACAAAGCAGTCCTAAGCAAGACTTAAGTTAACCAACCAGCTTTCTACATTTACTTGTAAGTCTGTCCAAGGCCTAGGCTCCTCGTCTGGACATGAGCAGTGGGCTCATAGTAAGTGAACCTCTGTGAGTCACTGATCCCCACTGAGGCCTGTAGTGGCGGGTGAAGCCGTAAAACCTCAAAGGTAAGACAAGCCCATAGCTAAGGACACCCAGCTCCAACCTCAACTAGAGTAAGAACGTAGCCTCCAGCACCTCACTCCTGGGTAGAGACCTTCCTGGAGCGAACACAGCTCTCTTAAATTAACATAATGCCTTACTTGGAGAGGTCCGTGAGCAGTTCTGCCCTTGAGTATTCCCCTCCCTTGTTCTGATAACTAAATAAATATGGGCTGCCCAGAGATGATCTTGGTTTTAGTCACCCCCCCTCAACCCCGAGAATCTTGAATCCTGTGAGAGGGTTTTGATCCTTCTGCAGCCCTGAAATCATACCATTTGTCTCTTTTATTTAACCTTCACTGTCCACTTGTTTGGGAGATTGCAGACCTGATCAGTCCGCAATAACTAAGGGATACGATTAACCAGAGACACGGGTACTTGCTTTCTTGGTTCAGGCAGCCTTTGTTTCAAACACTGCTCAAATATAGTATGATATATTTATAGAACTAATGAAAAGAGGTAAAAAATTATTTGTAATTATTTTGGTAACAGTGCAGTATCTAATATAATGCTAAATACTTACTGTACATTTAATACAATTTAGTAACTATTTTAAGTAATGTTCTTACAGATCTCTAGTGCTTAACAGAATTTATGAAAATAATAAAATGAAACTTTAAGAGCTTAAAAGGACATGCAGAATCTCTGAAGTTATCTCAATTCTCCAAATACTGAAGTACTGCTTTCAGAAGTTTCTCCCGATCACCAGTCAACCTCAACCCAATCAGGCCTCATAATACAGGATCTCACTGCACCACTTATCTTCTCATCACGGCATGATTCATGATTATAGGTGCATTTCCCGTGATTATTCAAGGTCTCCTGCCTGGACTTGGGGCTCTCTGAAGGTAGGGACTAATGTTTTACTGTTATACACCTTAGCACCCAGCACAGTGCCTCTGTCTTGAGAAAAGTCTAATAATGTCTGCTAAAATAATGACCAAATTAATACGCCAAAGATATTTACCTAATGAAATCTAACAGTGATAAGTTTACAGAAAATTCCAGCTGAACAGCGTGAGTATCCACCCTCTGATAACTGACAGAACCGGAGAGAGTCTCTTCCGTGAAAGGCCTTTCCACCTGTAGGCGGTACTGAAAAGTTTTGGTGCTTCCTGCTTCTGCTGCAGGCAAACAGCATCCAGGTTGCTCACTGGTCTGGAAATAAAAGTTAAAAAGATACTGAAGGAAGGAATGATGCACTCTATTACATGAATCCAATTTCCTATTTAATGAAGTGGTGCAAAATTATACTAACATGAGAAGCTAATAAAGGACATTATGAAGATGACCAACAAAAAATTCACCAGCACACGTAATTAATAAATACGATACAGGCCAAAACTATTAACAATGACATACAATTAAAACCTATGCACAGTTTATTAGCTGCAGCCCCAGCCCCTGCACCAGATTTGAAGACGGCAGAGTTTAAGGAACAATAATAACACAGATGTCTTGCATTCCCACTGGCTGCTCTCACTTAAGCACTGATGATAAAAGTCAGGTAACTGCGTTGGTTTTGTCTTAATTTTTTAAGTTTCTAGAAGAAACAGTGTCAGTTTCATGGAAGACAGATGCACTGGTCAAATAACTTGACCAAGGACATCCAGGCGACAGTGCAGGCAGACACACTTCCAGAAATGACACGCCTTGCAGGTAGGGAGGAAACAGAACTGATCTGAGCTCTCACCGCAGAGCAATACAGCGGTGGGAGAAAAGCAAGCCCACAGCGTACACATTTATCCTTCAGGAGTCTTACTCCTTGATGTGCCCGTTGGTTCTGTTAAATAATTTGAGTTTCAGTGGTTATGGTAACAGTAAACAAGACATTTAAAGAGGGCGGGAAGAGAAAACACAAAATACATACTAAAATAGTAATCAAGCAACATTTATCACATACCATGTATTGCTACAAGCATCTTGAGGATCTCAACGCTTAAACCTCACAGGAGCAGGCACACACTATCACTGCTGTCATTTACACAGGAGGAAACTGAGGCACAGTGCAGTTACATATCTTCACTATGGAACCCAGCTAATAAGCTGCAGAAGCAAGATTGGCAAACAAGCAGGGAGAGCCAAGAGCCTACTTCTCCACTCTACTCCACTGAAACTATCAACCTCCCCCAGCACAGTCGTTACTGTGTCTGATGGCCTCCGTGGTAGATGACAACTGGTGGTCACCTAGTGACACCCAGCTGAACTGAACCAGCCTGGTGCTGGGTGTGGG